AATCATTACTGATATTAATTTTCAAAATGAATTAGAAAACTGTTTCTTTTTTGTCTCAAAACATGAGCTTCTAAAACTTTTATATAAGTTTTATATGCAGTAAAAGAGCATTGGTCTCATTTCAGACAATAAGTAAAAGCAAAAAAGTGAAAAGGATTTGTGTATTTAAAATCAAAACAGAAAAGTGTTTACAAGATATGATGATTATATGAGAAGGTCAAAAAAAAAAACATAAATTAAAGAACATTTCAAAGTTAATATCTGATTTCATTCCCCAACCCCACCTTGAACATCTGATTTCACTCCTCTCCCCTATCTTGAACATTTGATTTCACCCCCTCTCTCACTTTTAAACATCTGATTTCACTCCTCTCCCTATCTTGAACATTTGATTTCACTCCCCCTCGCTCACTTTAAACATCTGATTACCTCTCCCCTATCTTGAACATTTGATTTCACTACCCTCTCTCACTTTAAACATCTGATTTCCTTCCTCTCCCCTATCTTGAACATTTGATTTCACTACCCTCTCTCACTTTAAACATCTGATTTCACTCCTCTCCCCTATCTTGAACATTTGATTTCACTCCCCTCGCTCACTTTAAATATCTGATTTCACTCCTCTCCCCTATCTTGAACATTTGATTTCACTACCCTCTCTCACTTTAAACATCTGATTTCCTTCCTCTCCCCTATCTTGAACATTTGATTTCACTCCCCTCTCTCACTTTAAACATCTGATTTCACTCCTCTCCCCTATCTTGAACATTTGATTTCACTCCCCTTGCTCACTTTAAACATCTGATTTTAGTCCCCACTCTCACCGTGAACATCCGATTTCACTCCCTGTCCCCAACTTGAACACGTTATTTCACTTGCCTTCCCACACCTTGAACATTTTTGTTGTACCCTTAAAGAAGGTTACAAACAGACAAAGGTGGTACTTGAGTGAAAGGAACAGCAACACGCGCATAGATGAAAGAAAGAGAGGTTTATTGTAAAAGAGAATACACTACTGAAAGACAGGGAATCAGTTAGAAGGCTAGTAATTTCCAAAGCAAGTTGCCATGTATATCCTGTACTCACTATATATAGCTACTGATATAGTCAGTCCACAATAGGTGATAGGGAGTGTGGGACATTACATTACCTCCCCCTAAGCTAATTTTCCCATGAAATTTTGCACATTACCTCTTCTTTTTGGGGTCAGGACATAACTGTTTGACTTTTTCCTCTTCCTAGTACTTCTCTGTCTCACCAATTTTATTTCACTCCCCTCCCCCACCTTGAAACTCTTATTTCACTCACTCCCCCACCAACCATGAACACCTGATTTCACTCATCTCTCACATCTGATTTCAACCCTGCCTTCTTTATTTTGCGGCACTTTGCTTGGTCTACACATTATATTTAACCTGCAATGTAGCAAGTACGACACAGTGGAATAGGAATGCCCATGTGGATAGCGAAAACTTAATTCAGATTTAAGGATGTGGAAAAATCCTGTCCTGTTAGTTTCTCTTTCTCTCATAATCCGACATTTTCATTACTGAATCTGCTCTAACCCAGCTTCCTCCAACATCCACTTTTGTTTGATTTCGGGCAGAGTCTCTCTCTCTATTGACTGACATCATTCGCTTTAGGAGAAATAAATGGATAAAAAAAAAAAGAAAGGGAAGGAAATCAGGAAAGGAACTATGGCCAGTAAGGCTTATGAATGCCATTTAAGTTCTGTCCAACTTCAAAATAGTGATGATCCACGTGTGCTTTGCATGTGGAATTCGCAAAGAAGCAACTGTCTTTAGCAGACACCAGCATCTGCAGCAAAGGAAAAGTAAAAGAGAACAAAAATCATGGATAAAGACAGTAGTGTTGGTCATGAGGTTGGACAAAAAGTCTTAAGAAAAAGAAGCTTATGAAGAAGAAAAAAAAAACGAAACAAAACAAATGTTCTGAAAATGATAATGCAACAACAGTGGTCAGATTTAGGAACTGGTGATAGATTTGTGGGGTTGGGAAGTAAAATATCCCAGCAATAGATTAAAGAATAGACTGGATTATTAAGGGTTCAATACTGAACAAGCATTAACAATTGGATTTGGATTTAAATGTAAGTAATTCTTTGTCCAGGCTTTACAATAGTTTTATTCTTTTAGCTATTTTTTTAGACATCAAAGCATGTGACTGGAAGCTTACAGCTATCTTCATATTAATGCTACTGTTATGATTGTTAAACCTCCTTCCCTGAGAATTGTTCTATCAACAGAGACCTATTCATTCATGATCTTGTCCTTGTACCATACACATGTACAGCTAGCACCACTCTGAAATCTGTGAGGGATTTACTCCATTTTTTGACAAACCAGAAACAATACAATATCTTTTAGCACAACTTCAGACTTCTTTTTTGCCTTCATGAACGTTCTTTCTTCACAGTTTCAGAGTTTAATTTATGATTCTTTCTAGGAAGAGCTCCAGGTCTTTGTCTCACTATATCTTCCCATTATATATTGTAGTTTAGTGTACAGTCAACTTAGGGACTGAAAACTGCTTAGCTTAACTGCTCCAAAACTCCTTCCTGAAATGGTAACAATTCACACCTTAGTGTTTTTCAAATACACAAACAAACCTTTCACATCCATCATGTTGTTTCTGATACCCAGCTTGAAGTGAACAATGTGTGTTGACATTGTGATAAGTTATTTTAAAAAAAAAAATTCAACTCACAGAGTTAACCTGAGAGACTACCTCATCAAAATATGATATAATTATAAATATATATTTTATGAATTTCATAAATAATTTAATTGATTTTATGGTGTAGGGATAATTTTGTTATTGCTAGTTTTTTGAGGTGTTTAACTGTTTATAATTCTATATTGTATTGAAAAAGAAGTTTCTCAAGTTGAATATTTGATGCTTTATATGATATCTGTCTTCCTTTATTGTTTATTGACAATCTCCTCAAAGATGAAGAAGAGACTTGAAGTAGCAGAAATAGGGTTCTACAGAAGGACACTGAGGATACCATGGATTGAACATTTGAGCAACGATAAAGTTTTAGAAAAAATGCAAACAAAAAGTGATGTAATGAATATGCATACACCTGGGTTCCCCCTCACAGTAATATGATTGGCTGGTGTCAGCCATAAATACAGACTGATGAGGAGGTACAGGGATGCCTATGCTTACCACTACAACGAGGACTAGTCCATTACGGTTACCTGCTAGATTGTCCTACCCGGTTACAGTAATCAACAACCACTTTGCTACTTCAAACAAATATATCCCTTTCCGGGACATATCAAAAAGGAAGCATACTTAACATGAGGAAGAGACAGTTGATGCTTCTAGAGTACATAATGAGGAAAGAGGGCTTGGAAAATCTGATGCTCACAGGACAGACTGAAGCAATAGAGACAGAGGAAAACAATGTATAACATACTCAGTGAGCTTAAGTAAATGGATGGTAGAATAAGGTTTAGGAGAAATAACAGAAAGACAAAATTTATTAAGAGCTACATAGGACAAGAAGTTGTGGAGAGCCATGATCGCCTACATCCTGAAGAGACACAGCATATGAAGGAGAAAAATGAAGAAGACCCTTTATCTTTATTTTTATATATAAAAAGCATTTCAATATTTGAAAACTAGAAGTTAATTATTTTAAAGTCATTATATCACATGGATAATTTTGTATCTCAGTGTATTTATATTTCTTTTTTTTATGTATCACAGTAAGTAAAATGTTTGTATGCAAGTATATGAGGAAGTGGAGACTGAAAAGTTCTCAGGCCAACACAAAATCTGATTAAATCACAAAACCTACAGATTTGTTATTTTTTAAGTTTTTGTTGGAACCAAGAACTTTCCTATGGAGTTTTCTTGGAGTTATAGTGATTTGGTAAGTGTAGCATAGATGTCGCACAATGCTGTGATGAAGGAACACTCAGGGAGGATTGAAATCACTACTCAGTTGCAATTGGTTCCAGGCAACAAACTTGCTAATCACTATACACATTGAAGTTCCCAGCAATTTATTAAGCATAGTTTAGATGTTGCACAATGCTTCAAGTATGGGCACTAAGTGACGATCAGACTCACATCCTCATTATCCTTGTATATTAATATGACTATATGTAAATTAAATTCAGTATATTTTGTCTAATGTGTGTGAAAAGAAAATAATGTTTTAAGAAGATTGTATCATTATTTTTTAAGTCATTATATTTTGGAAACTAAATTGAATGCATATTGACACAGTGAAAGTCATGTGACACCAATGTCGAATATCATCTTCTATATGCTGCATGCCATTATAACATAGGCTCTCTTCAACTTCCTATCCCTTGTGGACCTGAGCAGTTGTTTTCTCTTTGCTAAGGCTCCTGCTCCCTGATCCACCATCCATCACATAAACTCATCAGGTAAGAGGCTTTCCCTATCTCTTTCTCCCTTAATATGCCCTGTGAGGGTTTAGTTTTCCAAACCCTTCTCCTTCATTATGTTTCAAAGGATTTTCAACTGTCTTTTCCTAATTCTGAGTACATGTTCTTTCGGATGCCATTTTTTTAAGACTTCCTCATTGTTTACTCGCTCCATCCATGAAATTTTCAGTATCCTTCAGTAGAACCACATTTCTGATGACTTTAGTTTTTTTCTCATCCATGAGAAGATCGTCTAGAATTTGCTGCCATATAAGGAGATGGATATTGCATAGTAATCCAGCACTCTTTTCTTTTGCTTCTAATTCATGTTTTCCGCTTCTCAGCACCATGCTTAACTTTTGAAATACTTCTTCCACTAATCCAGTTAATATTCAGATTTTGGTACCACATTTAAGGATAGTAAATAACATGTTTGTAATAATTTTTTTTTCTATATGCATTAAAAAATGTAGGTTCTTAATCAGTCATTATTTTTATTTTCGGTTGAAATTTTTAAAATCTTTTTTTGTAAAACAGTTTTACATGAAATTATACTTCTACATTAAATGGGTTTATGGCCACATCATGTTGAAATACCAGTACCCATATGATCACCAAAGTTAATCAACATTGATCCTGGTTAGTACCTAGATTGGTGACCGCTTGGGAATACCAGGTGCTGTCACCTTGAATGTGCAGGTCATGTAATGGATAATGACTTGGAATTGTTAATCGGAGAGCCGAGTTCCAATTCCCATTGGGTTCATTATATTCACTTACATGCAAACACTCTTGGAAAAGGTATGAATCTAACTTTTTCCCCCTCAGCTATGGGTTAATTAATAAGACTTGTATTGCTAAACCATTATTATTTCAAAAGAAATTCTTACAATCTAAATATATTTTCTGGTCTTAAATAACCTGCAAAGGGTTGATAAACCATAGAAAATGAATCAGTCAATCCAAAAAATTCTCCATTAACTGTAGTTACACTTTTGAGTATTGATGGGTATTTCCTGTCTGACATTTTGTTTAATGCAGTGTGGAAAGACAACATCATTATTATATCATTATTTTTCTCTTCTAATGACATGTGCTACTCACTTTTGTTTCTACTGCGGTTGAAAGTCTTCAAGTCATGTGATTTTTGCTATTTGGATTTGGTAAATCTTTTGTGATTTAATAGTGCCAGTCTGATAAGGGATTGCCAATATGAGCTAAATGACTTATTTGCTTGAAGCCATTTTTAATCTTTGTTTATAGAAAACTTTTGTGTGTAGCTGATAGTTTAGACATTTCTGAACAAGTTAGTTATCATGCATGGCATACATATAAGAGTCTAGATCTAATGAGTCTATTTAAGAACATGACTTTTGTCTTCAGGTGTTATGCCACAAATAACTGTTTGAACTGCTAGGTAACCTTGACATATTTGGGAAGAATATTAAAATAATCCAGAAACTATACTGAGAGCAAACCACCTGTATATGAATAGAAAATAATTTCAGTAAATATACAAGAATAGAAAGTGTTGTATGACAAGTATGTGTTTTCTTACCAAACTTATTCAAACTATACAACGAGGTGATTCTGAGAGAATTAGAAATCCTACCAGGATTCATTATTAGTAGCCACAATCTTAACAATCTAAGATATGCAGATAACGCAGTATTGATAGAAGATATAGAAAGGAAACAACAAGAAATCCTACAAAAGGTAGTGAAGGAAAGGGAGAAGAAAGGACTAAATTTCAAGTAGATAGAAAGCATGGTTGTGAGCAAAAGGAAACAGTGCGACACACAAATTACAAATTGGAGATACCAAAATCAAATGACTAAAAAGAATTTAATACCTGGTAAGTGTTTTAATAGAGGATGGAAAGTGTGACACTGAAATCTGATGATGCATTGAGATAGCAAAAGATGTCTTGCAAAAGCTAAGCAAAGTACTAATAAATAGAAAGATTTTTTTAGGAACAAAGAAAGAATATGCAATGTCAACCTCCTATATGACAGTGAATGCTGGCTAATCTCCTCAGACTTGGAGAAACTTGAGGCAATGTAGTTCTACAGAAGGATGCTGAGAATACTATAGGCTGAACATGTGAGCAACAATGGAGTTTTAGAAAAGATGACAGAGAAGAATACTTATACTTAACATAAGATGAGAGATGAAATTTCTCAGGCACATAATGAGGAAATAGGATTTGGAAGATTTGACACTCACAAGATAGTAAAAAGGAAAGAGGAAAACAATACATAACTTATTTAATGAGCTTGAGTAAATGGATGGTGGAGCAAGGTTTAGAAGAGATAACAAAAAAACAAAAAATTTATTAAATGCTACAAAGTACAGAAAATTGTGGAGAGCCATGATTGCCAACATCTTGAGGGTATGTGGTATATACAGAAAGTAGTTTATGGTGTTGGACAAAAGTAATCCTCCCACAACCTATGTTCAGTTTCCTTATTTCTTTACATTCATGTTTATTTGAACACTGGTAAATTTTTTTTCCTAGGAATTACCCTCAAGTGTATTTGGGGTCAGAACAGGCCAGCCGAGAAACAGCAGTTTGACACATTTAACACTAGGTCTAATTTCTATTTCCATCTTCTTTAATTTTGTTTCTTTTTATCTTGATTCTTTTCTTTCTTTCAAATGTGAATAAAAATAAAACAAAAAAAACTCTATCCTTTTTAATTTTTTTCCACCAACCCTGACGCAAAATCTAGGTTTTTGGAAAAAGCTTGAACAAAATTCTTTTAAATTAAAACCAAAAACACTGCCATTCACTACCAGTAGATTTTATATAACAACAGGATATGCTCAATTGAGTTAAAGTCAAATGCAGACCGGCTAGAGAACGAAAGATGCAAGGAGTGGATAAACATTAAAAAAAGGTCACTGCTTTACAAATTCTAGCTAACCAGATTTATATCTACTTATCTTCAAGTCTTTGATGCTTAAACCCCCACCCCACACCCCTGTAAAGGAAAAATAAATTCAATTCAGTCATAAAATCTTTCTCTGTCTCTTGGTTTATATTGGTCTCAACAAACACCTACACATAAAATGCAATAATACAAACCTATGTTCTATCTCTCTTACACACACACACAATATGAATTTAATGAATACACAAATATAGTTAAAGGAAAATTAATAAATTACACCTTAAACACATTTTAAATTTTTATTTTTCCAATGGATAAAATTTCCATTGGAATCACTTGCAAACAAATCCAGTTTTTCATGAATATCTCTACTCAGGGTCAGTGAATACAACCTGATTTTGGGACCCTGGGCAGTGCATTGTGACTATCACTATCTTATCAACATTTGTTTTTTTCTATTTATAGTTTTTGCAAATTTTAACATCATTATGGGATCTTTTTTTTTTTTTACAAATCCATGAATTTGTTTTGCTCATACTAAGTCTAAAAAAAAAGCACAATATAAAATTCACTATTTTTTATCCATTATGTTGAATGTGTTAAAATTATTCAACTTTTTGGCAAGAAAAAGTTCACGTTGATATTAAAAATTGCCACAAAATATTGCTGATTTGTTTAAGATGGAATGATCTATTATGACATGATTCTAATTTATATTTAGATACATTATATTTATTTTCAATTTTTCTAGTTGAATTGTTCACGTATATTGTATATGATCCATTATTGTACCTAAATAGGTTACAATAAAATTTGTAATTTATATGCATACTAACTTATGAAAATTGAGATGTAGCATAGTGGAGGGCCCTGAATCATTTATTCGGATGGATATCATAGAATGAAAGCGGGGTGGGGGAGCAAGAAACCATTCACCAGCACTATTTATACTCATATCTATGAGAGAAAATTATATATAAATTTTTATATACCAGAAAGAAATATATAATCATATATATATATATATATATATATATATATATATTTATTTAAATGTTGTTTTTAGTGGATACCTATATTTGATTTGGTGCTTAATTTATTTATTAAACAGTTTATTTATTTTCATCTCCCAGCCTGAATATTCAAGAAATCTTATTATAAAAATATGCAGTCTCCAGCAGGATTCAAACTTGCATCCACCTTGGCAGGAGAAATTGTCATTAGATCAGATGTGTTTTAGAATGACTCGGCCACTGACTGCTTTGTAAATCAAAGTTAAATAGTACCTTATAAACACAAATCATTCCTATGCTCTTGAAACATTCATGTCTGCTCAGTTTAATATCCTAATATAAACAAAGCAATTTCTAAAGAAGTAATGGGATATTAAGGTCTGGTAGATGAGGATAAATAAATATAATAAGTAAATAATAAGTAAAGTGAGCATCTACTCAAATCACTAAAAATAAAGTTTAATAAAATCTGTAGGATTAAAAAAAAAAAAAAAAAAAAAAAAATCCAATACTTCTTTAGAAATATATATATATATATATATACATACATACAGAGAGAGAGAGAGAGATCAGACAGTGGTTTGGACACTGCTGGAGGGTACAGGCTGTCAGATGTAATTCACATGTTTACTCCCCCCAAATCCAAAAAAATTTTAAGGTTTAAAATTTCAGCATCACATCCTCTTCATGGGCATGTGAAGCAAAATCAATGTTAACATCATTGAAAACTTAATTTTAAAACACATCAAGAAATTTGTTTTATTTGTCGTTAATTTTCCTAATTCATATCTATCTATCTATCTATCTATCTATATATATATATATATATATATATATATATTGGTCTGTGTGTTCAGTTAAATATAAATATCCACACACCACAAAATCAAATTTTTCTAAAAAAAACTACAAGCATACATATATATGTTTGTATGTGCGTGTATTTTTGTATGCTTTGCTTAGATTTAACTCATATATCTATACGTGCATATTAGGTTTTGTGCATATGTTTACATAAATTTATCTGGACATAGATTCATTACATATATATATATATATATATATATATATATATATATATGTGTGTGTGTGTGTGTTTGTATATGTGCATGTATTCACTTACAAGTCTCTGCTACCAGATACACAGACATGCAAACTCACATTTTTTGCTAGCATACATATAGATGCATATGAATATTTACATAGATGCGCATGGTCTGTGTCTGTGTCTGGATTTTTTTCAGTTTTTTTGTTTCATTATTTTCTTGAAATAATGACACTTCAAAGGAAAGATTCAAAGAACTCAAGTGAGTAGCCGTGCAATGTCTTGTTTGAAAAAAAAAAGAAAGAAGTTAAGGTGTAAAACATACAAAAAAAAATAGACTTAACCTTAACTTGTTCAATAAATACCCAAGAACATGCCAGACTGTGCAACTCTCCAAGGAAAGAAAAAATACAGAAACAAAAGGCACGTCCATTGATCCTAAGAAGAACATGCATTGATTTATTTGTACACATTCATATATATATATATATATATATATATATATAGATAGATAGATAGACTGTCCCCTGTCAGGGTTGATAATGGCTGTAATAGCTTCTTTTAATCTTACTGTTGACTGGCCTGTGAGTTAATTAAAGAATATTAGTTTAGCTTACTCACCCACATTCTTATCTGTCAACCATGGTGGTATCCCCAGTCACAAAAATATTTGTCTTAAGACCTGATAATAGTAATAGAGCATGGCATAGCAAGAAGTGGATCCTTGCCTTTT